GTTAATAATATTGTAATATAAATAAAAGATTTTTGATATCAGAACAGACCACTAGATAATTATCGTACACTTGGTTTAATCATATTTTCAGCCAAATTTATTTTACTCAAATTTTTCAAAAGTCGAAAAGTCATTTTAAAAACTGTTACTTTCAAATTAATTATAATAATTTGATGTTTAAATGAATAACATGTATATAACTATGTAAATTCTTAAATGATTGTTAAATTAGATTTCAAGTTGAAAATTGACTGTTAATGACACTGTCATTCTCAATATTCATTGTAATTTTTATGTAATTGGTTTAACATTTTGTTGAAACTAATAAAAACCAAATATTAAATAATTGTAATTTATTTCATTGTGTAACTACTTAGATAAACTCGGTTTTCATTCAAATACTATTTGTTTATAGTTACATACGAGAGAGATATTATTTACAATTGTTTTTAACAATAGTTTTATTATTTTTCATATTATAACACAAAACAGTAAATACGTGTCTTTTAATAACACCACAACTATTTTGATGAATTTAAATGAAGGCATTTATTAAATATTAATTTTCAATAATTTAATAATAATTATTGGTGTATTTAGTTTCATTGTTTATTACTTCACTTTTATAAAAAAAACAGCCTTAAAAAATAAAAAGTGATATTTTTGAAATGTTTAAACAGTAACATCAAACTGAAACTTTTAATTATAACATTTAAATAAAACGAATATAACAGCTTACAACAATTCTAAGATATAACTTGTGGCTCATGCATACATGCACATAATATATTATAATCAATTTCCCGTATTATAATAGTTGAAATAATTAACTTTTTGAATCTGCCAATAATATGAATTCGGCTTTTTAAAAAAACAAATTACAGACAAACCAATAGATGTTTGATATTCTTTTTGAACTTCTTTCTTTTAAATAAGCTGTTATTTTTCCTCTTCACCTTAAAAAAAGAAGTACAAAAAGAATATTAGACTTTATAAAAAACATAGAATAAATACACCATATAATTTTTGTTAAATAAACTACGTTTTACAAGCGGACTACGTTTTTAGACAGATTTTTTAGAGAATTTTGTTTTTTTATTAATTTATTAGTATTTTTAATTTACATTTATATTTTAAAGAAAAAATAAATTGTTAGTTGCTTTTTTTCTGTGTAGATCAGCCATTTATGTTAAAACTTGTTAATAAATGAAGAGAAAAATTTTAAAACGAATGAAAGGCATTTTTAATAATAAAAAAGTGGTGAAATGATAAAAGAAAATAATATTATAATACTGTGTTTTTGGTAATAAAAAATAAGTGAAGATAAAAAACCATACTTTTGTTGTAATTTAACATTAATGACCAATTGTATCTATATGTATTTTAGAATTATTCAAATTGTGTAAAAAATAGTTAAATTTTAACATAATTATATCTTTTTAATAAGATAAACAAAAAAATGTGATGATAATGAATTGAATTGACCACAAATTATTTGACCAGATGTCTTTTTTAATTTATTCATTCTTTCATTTATATTTTCAAATTATAATTTGTTTCTAATTGCATTATATAAACAAAAAATAATAATTTTAATTCACTTAATGCCACCAACAATCAACGTCGACAACTGTACTGGATGCGGTGCTTGTGTCTCAGCATGTCCTGCTAATGTCCTCGAGCTCCAAAATGATAAGTCATTTGTAGCAAGACCAGACGATTGCATTGAGTGTCATGCATGTGAAGAGGCTTGTGGTTTCGATGCCGTCTCATTCCCTTAAATGATCATTTTCTATTGTTTTTGTTATTTTAATCAATTAAGTTTTGTAAAATTGATAAAAAGTGATATGAAACTTAAATTTTGGTTTTGCATCGATAATCATAACAATTTTAATCATTGATTAAACTAATCACACTTTTTTTACTTTTAAACAAAAAAATATATTCATACTATATTCTGTAGTTTTAATATTATAATTATATAGTTTATTTATTGTATTTTTTGTATTATAAAATAAATTAAATTGAAAATAAATATCTTTTTACTGCCTTAATTATATTATTTATTGAATTAAACATAATATAATATAATACAAAAAACAATTAATTTGAATAATAGTTAATTATTATAATAAATTATTATATTTTATTAACAATTAATTATTAATATAAACATTTTTGAATAATTTTTTTTTGAAAAACAAAATATTTTAAAAAAACAAAAAATGGGAGCTATGGGATTTGAACCCGATACCTTTTTTCTTTTTCAGTTGATAGAAAAATGAAACGTACTACTATTATACTAAACTCCCTTTAAAAAATCTTTATTTTTGAATAGTGTTTATCAAACTTTTATCATTGAATTTTTTATATCAATCATATAAATACTACTTTTACAAGCATGATAATTTTGAACAATTTAAAATATTTGAAATAATTATTTTTGATTTTTATCCACTTTGTAATTACAACAAACGTAATTATATTACTATATTTAATAACATTATATTAAACTTAATTTATTTTATTTACACTAGTTTGAAAAACAAATAAATACAACATATTTTCAACAAAAAATAAATAATTATAGCATGTATTTACTTTTACCAAATTTTTAATTGAATGATTGTTGATGTTTCATTTACGCAATATAAAATAGTGTTTTTATCAATTTTATTTATTAAAATATGTTTTTATTATTTCATGTTTTCTATTTAAAATATCATTCATCAAATGTTTTACAAAATTTAAAAATAATACGCCACAATATTATTTATGGTATTAAATAATATACAAACAATAACAACTTTGAATAAGTTAAATATTCTAATCTAATTATAACACGTTTAATATAGTTTCTAGACTTTTTTGAATGTTATTAATACTTCTCCTTTTGTTTTTATCATCACACCAAGCTTCTTGAATCACAATAAATATATCATCTCTCATATCCATTGGCTTTTCCAAACGTTTACCAGCCACAACGAAATCAACGATGTCCCAACTATATTTGAACTGTTCTTTGTTGAATGGTTCTTTCCACCCAACTACTTCATACATCGTCACTCCAAATGAATATACATCAGCACTCTTCTTATATTTTTCTCTTCTCAGCATTTCAGGCGCCATATAAATAGGTGTTCCAATTCCTTTGGTGAATGTCATGTTCGTCATCAGTAAATTGATATTTCTTGAACTCCCAAAATCTGTCAATTTTGCGTTCACACTATCATTCAAATCAATTGAAACAACTAAGATATTATCTGGCTTGATATCTCTATGTAAGATCCCATTTTCATGTAAATATGCTATTCCTTTTGAAGAGTCTACTAACATTTTAATTCGCATATTAATACATTCTTCTTCGCTCTTTTTATGTTGCATCAAATCCTTTAAACTCCCAAATTGTGCAAATTCGGTGACTAAACATACTTTACTTGGAATAAAAACAGCGCCATAGAAATGGACAATAAAATCACTGCGAAATTTGTTCAACATGTTAACTTCATTAGTAAACTCCTCAATCGAATTATCATCATTTGAAAAATTCTTCATCTTTTTGATTGCAACAATATTTCCTCTGAAAGTTCCTTTGTAAACAACTCCAAAAGAGCCTTCACCAAGTTTCTTATCTTCTTTTAACTCGTCGTAATCAATTCGCGTCGATTTTTCAGTGACACCAATAACTTTGATTGCATTGAACTTTTCGTCGTTTGTTTTCAAGTTTTTGGCAACAATTTGAATGGAACTAATAATTTGACAAGTACACAATGGCGTCAAATACATCGAAAATTCACACGCAAAGCCTTTCTTGAGTGAAATCAACTCGGGCGACACTCGAAGAGTAAATTTGTCGACGTTTGACATTAAAGTGAATTGAATTTTGACAACATTTTCATTCAAATTTCCAACACAGAAAACTTCACGACTTTCTGTGTTGACTGGAATTTCATCATTCTCAGAGTTAAAATCAACTGTTTTTGAGGACACACAAATGCCGCCTTGAAGGGTTTCAAAGTGGATATTCGATTTTTTCATTTCAAAAATTGTTGTGGTCTTCTCAACTTCTTTTTTGTGTAATTTGTCAAGAATCATTTTAGTGATGACTACAATTACTATAAGTAATATAATAAATAGTAAAATAACTATCAACACTATTATAAATATCACCCACCAAACCGCCTTTGTAACACAAGATGATCCATCAATACTTGGAGAGCGCCAAAATGTACATTTGGAGCATTTGGATTCAGATACTTTAACACAGTCTTTGACTAATTCTAATGATGTACACTTTGAATTTACCAAAACGAAATCAGACTCACATATCTGGCATGTTGTTTGTGAAGTACATTGATTACAATTTTCAGAGCAAGGTGCACAATCTTTGTGATATAAATAATAGCCAGAAGTGCATGAAATGCATCCTAAAACAGTGTTAATATCAACACATCCAACTGTACTGTTTTTTAACTTGCAGACTCCTTCATCATAAGTCATGAAATAATCACTTTGACATGTAGTACACTTAATATTATTAGTACATGTGGCACACCCAGTGTTACACACATTACAGCCATTACCACTTCTATAATATCCACTCTTACAGATTGCACACCCGGACCCTGTTAGTAAAGGTTTGTCACACACTTTACTCAATTCGTCACTGGAAATACATGTGTGATCTTGTAAGTATTTATCATTTGTACATGAGATACACTTAGAATTAGATATACACGATGTGCACTCTATTGGACACTCAGCACAGTTGCCACCATCTTCTAAATACATTCCAAAATCACAGGAAATGCAAGTGGATGACATTTGAAAAGAGCAATTTGGTTCAACTTGTGGTGTACACGTGTTAGATACAAGATGATGGTCTTCAATGCATTCATCGCACCCACTTAATCTATCATATGAACAATTTTCTCTTTTCGAAATACAAGCATTCCCATTATATATCGATTCTGAGTTACAAAGACATAAACTGTTTGTTATAGAATTACAAGACGATTCTATTACACACTCTCCATTGGAATATATGGTATTATCAAGACATTTAATACACTTTCCATCCATACACATTTCACAATTGTAAATGTCTGAAGTACAATTATTGCATTTACCATCACTCAAATAGTCTGTAACTGATGTGCAATATATCAGTTTGTTATTTGTGTTGACAAATCCTTTGTTGTTCACACAAGAAAACCCGTCCCAATAATACCCAACATGGCACATCGAACATTTCGTTTGAGTCGAACAATAATCACAATTACGAATGTCACAAACAACACAATTTCCATTTGAAATATAATATCCTTTGTCGCATTTTACACACCTCCCACTGTTGGAAAGTAGACAATTCGAATTCACACAAACTCCATTATTAATAATTAAATTGTTGAAAAAACAATTATAACAATAAGTGCTATTTACACACTTGTTACAATTAATACCACATGAATTGCATGTTTTGGTTATTTCATCATAAAAGTACTTGTCTGTACATTGTCGACATATTCCATTTTCATATAAAACGCAATGATTTAATACACAATTAGTTCCTAATAATGTATATAAACACTTACATAAACCGTTTTGCATTTGTTGTTCTGGGGGACACGTGAGACATTTTATAATGTTCAATTTTGTGATATAACTTACTTTTTATTAATTAGGTGATTTAATTATTTAAATTTAACATGTGATTTATAATTATAATAATTAAGTGTA